GCCAGGAGTGGAGATGAGTGTAAGTTACCTGAGAGCAGTTGCAGAGGGCTAAGTGATTACCTGTAAGGCAGTACCCCAGGTGTGCTGCTGTCATGAGTAACAACCATTGCCCAGGGTTCTTGGACATTTGGACATCCCCAGTACAAGCCAGAAGTCACACAGGAGGTGCTGCTAACTTGCTCCCGGTCCTGCTAGTTTGACAAGATTGTGATCAAAGGGCCAGAACTCCACCTATGGCTGCATTTTGCTGCAGTCCTCACAGCCGTGGAAACTATAAAGCTTATGGGCATTAACATCAGCCTGCTAAGGACTCATTCTGCAGCTGAAGGATTCAGAGACCACCAGGATGTCAGCACATAGAGTGTCATCCAAGCACCTTTTTTTTTTTCGTACATAATGGAATATATGATTTTTATTTTTATTTATTTATTTAACATCTTTATTGGAATATAATCATCCAAACATATTGACCAGGCTCTCAGAGGGTCAGTAAACATTCAAAGTCAGATCTCCTGCTGGGAGTGCTTGCAGGAGGGTGGGTATCCCCTCTGGCTCTTAGATTTGGGGGATTGAAACCAAGAAGGGCCAAGCCACCTCTTTTCCTTTCCACATTTTGCTTGAGTTCCACGCTGTCTGTTAGTCCAGGACACCTGCCATGTGCACGTGGCTGCGGTTCTAGGCACTTATGACTGCAGGGGACCAAGCCCTGCTCCAGGTTCCCCAGAGGACAAGCAAGGTGCCTGCAAGTCAACAAATGGAAGGACATTCCAAGGGTAGATGGTCCTAAGTATAATGACGATACTAAAATGGGTGATGAAAGGAGAGATAGCGGGGCTGAGATACTTTAGTTCTACAAGGCCTCTGAGAAAGCTAGTCAGGGACATTTTAACCTCTGTTCTCTCTGGTATTTACTATGAATCTAAAATATTCATATAAGTGGGGAAGAGAGTGTGTGCATTGCCTTGTGATTCACTGTAAGCGTGGGTCCCAGGATCAGCCCAGAGTCCCCCTTTCCCAGCAAGGACAGAGAGAGAGCAGTGTCGTACCTCGGCTGACAAGCAGGCATACTACCACCACCTAGTAGCTGTGTTCCTGAGCAGCCAAAAGCGATATTTCCACCACAGCCTCTCCAGGCAGTCTGTGGAGAAATCTGTGTTTGTGGGATGACACAAAGAGTTTGCGTCTGCCCCTGATATTCTTTTTAATTGGTGGAAATTTTAAAATGGAAGTGCTGATACCAAAGTAGAACTCATAAGCTTGATATAATTGAGACAAAGTTAGAACCCTTTGACCTGCTAAAAGCTGTTCTTCCCAGGAGTATTTTCTAGATGGTGTCCAAAGATGGCAGGTGTCTCATAATAGGATTTTAAACTTGTTGGGATGTTGCTGCCCTTATAAACTTCACATTTATTCCTCGAATTTTCATACTTTTGACTCTTAAACATATCTTCAGGGATATATCACTTATAATAGCAGGACTACCTACTAAACTCTACCCTGTTCCACAATGGGCAAAATATCACTGCTGTTGCAGCAAGTGTAGCCTTAAAATATTTATTTTCTCCCCTTACGTAGTATATTTCCAATTTGTCATACATATGAGACATATACATGTATATGATCTCTGTGTGTATATATATGTGTGATCATATATATCATATATATATATACATATATATATATAACATTTTTCTACTGAATTCGCTCTTCTTTGAAAACAAGAACCTCATTCCCTGAGTAGGCTTTTAAAAGTTGAATATGTTTTGTAGTTTAAGGCAGAAGAGGTGTCAAGGAGGTAGATGAGTGAGTGCAGGATTCAGGCTGCCTGGATCTGAATGCCACATGTGCCTTCCAGTAGCATTGTAAATGTTGCCAACCTCCTTACTCTTTCTGATCCTTGGATTGCTCATCTGCAAAATGGGAAGAATAACAATACCTCTATAATGTGGTTGTTGTGAGATTAAATGCATGAGTATTCAATTGCTGAGCACGGAGCTGGGCCCAAAGCAAACTCACAACCAGCCTTACATAAAGTTCAGATGTGACTGCATGCTACGACTGAAAACAATGGATCTACTGGAGAGAATTCCTCACACAATATTTCTTATTGACTTCACCACTATTTCTTAGAAATAGGAGTGGAATTCTCAGCTTTCAGATGGAAGTGGAGCTAGAAGTTGGTTAAAGTCTTTTCTCAGGGCAAATAAAATTGATTAGAAAAAAATACAAAAGGTGTGTGTGTGAGTGCATGCGTGTTGGGGATTATGCAACTAGAGCTCAAATGTCACTGGGGCTTCCCTGCCCTTGGTCCATCTCCATTAACTAGGCTTGAGTTCTCATTCTGCAGACTATGAAATACCCTCCTATGGTTTCTACAAAGTCCCAGAGGTGCAAAATTTGGTCATTTCACTCAGAAGGTCCAGTCCCCAAACCTGTCATGAATTTAGCCAATGTGGATGATGGCCTTGTGGCTCGGGGAGGAGTTCTGGCCTGCTGTCCCCTTCCTGACCTCTTTATTCCCCCCCTTTCTTTTTTTCTTGCCTTTCTGTCCCAGTGGCAAAAAGACCTCTTTCCTTCTTCCACTGTGTCATGAGTAGGCTCTTATGACTTACTTTCCACCATAAGAGGGTTTTCTGTGTATTTCTTCCATAGGAAGAAGAGTAGCACATAGATGTCTATACCTTATTCCTCAAGTCAATAGGAATAGGGCTCCATATGATAGCCAGTATGATACCAGAATGAGAAGACAGGACAACAGCTGTACTAAAGGTACTCACCAATTCTACTAGCTTCATGCTTCCCACTTCCAATGATTCCTATGAAACACTCTACATAATATCACAATACATGTGAGTCTCCAAACAGTTTGGATGTGTGTGTGTGCACTTGTGTGCATGTATTTTAATGATGATAATTGGGAATAAATAAGGAAAAACAAACAAAAAATGGTAATCTCAGTTACTGAGTCTTCAAGTGAATAGGTATTAAAACATGTAGGAAAATTTAAAAATTTGAACATTTCCAGTAGAGATCTTTTTCTCTTATTTACAAAAATTTGTAATTTTAGCAGAACTTTCTTCTAATTTTGCCTTGTAGGCATCTTGTATGGATGTTGGGTTGACAACCTGCCATAAAACATGCCAGAATTTCAAAGTGCGAGGCTGGTTCTTCAGTTGGCTAGGAAGTCAGATGATGTAGAAAAATATACCAAAGAGCTATGTGTTGACTTTGGATAGAATGTAATCCACTCTTTGGAATAATAATTGGAAGTGTTATGACATTTGGAAAGGACACAGTTTCATCATTGGTGTGGATCTTATAGCATATGTCTGCACGGCACTTGCATGCTATTTGCAAAGAAAAAATTAGCGTTGTCCCATGATTGGCAAATAGGTTGACATTTTCCCTCACTGTTCTTCTCAGTCATTGAAAAGTAGAACTTTCCTCAACCTGCCGCTTAACCCAATGCTAATAGAAGGACATGCTTTACTCCTGTTCCTTTAACACTGGCACTTAGGTTCAGTGAGACAAGCCCAACATAATTAGCACATGACTGGTGTCTGATGGGTGTTTTGGAGCAGAACTTGCTCATGTTGCCTGAGTGGTAGGAGGTTTGTTGTGAGTGTTCACATGGAAGGCTGTCTATAGAAAGCTCAATACTGGGCTTCGAGAAGGGTGGAGTCTAGAATGTGGCTGGGATTTCAAAGTAAATCTAGGGATCTCAGGAGAAGACATTCTCACTTCTTCCTTCTTAAGATTCACCATTTAATGAGCACAGCCCAGGCCGCCATTTACACATCTTCCACATCAGCTTTGAGATGCTGCTCCCTGAGATGTGTCGTACATGTCCTGCAAGGCTGTGTGCTGTGGCCCAGGCTTAGCTCTGCTGTCTCCTGAACCATCAACTCTCTGCATTGTCTTCACCTCTGTTATGCTTTCTCATGCCTGACTCTCCAGTTTGAAAATGGCATCACAAGCCTCTAATTCATGAACTTGCAAGTTTAGCTCCATTCTCATCTTTAATTCATTCTCATGGAAGAGAATCCCTTTAGCTCCATTCTGCCTTTTAACTCAGGCCACATCCTATATTCTTGCTCAACTAATGGTTGGCTGTGCTTGATTCAGGGACCCAGCCCAGTCTGGTTAGCTGGGGCTGTGGTGCAGAAGGGGTGGGATTTCGAGAAAGAGAATAAAACATGGTAGCCTAATCGTTGCATTTTCAACAGAGGCTTTGGGTAGTTTGGTTTCCCTAAAATGAGTCTTTCGGCAGAGTAGGAAATGAACTTGACGTTTCTGGAAGTGTTTTATCTCCATGTACAGTGGGTTTAGCCATTGCACAGCAGAGGCTTAACCGTCCTTAGGCCACGATATAAATTCTTTCCAGGGCTGCAGCTGACCTCAAGGGAAGCTAACCCAAGTTTTCATTCATAATCAATAATATAGAAGCCAAATATTCTCTTTGAAAAGGTAGATGATCCTGTGGTGAAAAGCCCTGGAGCATTAGCCCAAAAGGGAACTATAATAAAACAGAATCAAATAGAAGCTTGGCTCACATTTCCAGAGTGCAGCCTGTGGATTGGGAACTACTTGAATACTTCACACTGAAAGTCAAAGAATTAAATTGTAATCTAATCAATGTTGTTACCATAGGTAAGTTTTCCCTGTGCTACAAAAGTTAGAGCGTCACTAGACAATGAGGCAGAATAAAAATTGAAGACAAGAGCTTCCTAAGAAGCCCCTTTCTCTTCCCTTGATTATCCAAAGTCAACAAGTTTGCATGAATAGTTTTATAATTATATATGTATTGCTTTTTTGGATAAAGCTGGCCTACAGTATAATGAAAACTTGTCCATTTAGTATATATCATGAAATATGTTTAATCAGGTGTGCTTTGGGGAAGGGGTCCTACCTGAGGGTTACTCAGTGTTTATCTAGAAGCAGTTTTTCTGCTGTATTTCTTATCCCATCTTTAATATCTGCCCTCACTCTGTGTGTTTCAGAATCACCACGACCGCAGCATGCATGATGGACCTGAGAAGATACCCTTTGGATGAGCAGAACTGCACTCTGGAGATTGAAAGCTGTGTGTATCTGTATTTCTTTTTCATCCACTTTGTGTTTTAGGCCTTTTTATCATTATTTGGCATGGCATATATAATTTTCTTGACATAGTTTTTAACTATCCTAAAGATTAGAGGTTTAATCATCCACTCTGCAAATATCACTTTCATGACAGAGAGAGGGCAAGAGAAAGAGAGAGACAGAGAGAGACAGAGACAGAGGCTCAGTATAAAAGAATCCTCCACTCTGATCTGACTAAGAGAGTCTGTTTGCTGTGCTGAAATAAAAGAAGACAAATGCTCTCCATCTCGACCCCTTCAGTGAGAAGAGAGCAGATGCCGAGAGGCGGTCCCTCACAATGTGCTTCATCAGGCACAAGTGGCTGTACTCCTGGGACCCTCTGCAGTTGGAGTAAACCTCATTTCCCATTAGGAGCTCAGCTTTACAAGCCAACTATTTCTACATCTTGGCAATTTTCTTCAATTTGAAGAGTATTCAGATGCCTTATTGATAATTCAGTGTTGAGTGATAACTTCTCTGCGAGGGACGAGAGCTGCAGCCACGTAGTCTAAGAAGAAAATGTCCTCCTCCCTGACCTGCAACCCTGGCATATCCGGATATGGCTGCTGCCGTTGTGTCTTCTCCTGACCCACCATAGACTGGTTTATCATTAGCCTCAGTTGGATTTCGGGTTGTCGGTATTTGTATTGAATTTTGGGGGGATGGCAAATGACTTACTTTGCAGCACATTCGATACATGTATGGTGAGAAGTGAATGCCTTGGTGAATGAACACACTGGGAAGCTGCACTGGTGGCAGGCCAGTGTTTAGACCCCTCACTGTGCCCCTCACTTTCACACGGCATCATGGCCCTGCTTTCTGAGAGCTGTGCTTTCAGAAGGTGAGGGACGTGAGATCATGTGGCATGATGCATAATATATTTAGTATGAAGGCTCAGGGGAAAGATGATGGTTTCCCAATAGTTGAAGGGCTACTTTAGGAAGTTAAGTAGATTCTGTGTGGCCAGAGGACACAACTCCAATGAGTTGATGAGAGTTTCAGGAAGGCAAATTTGGGATCTAAGTGAGGAAGCAGCTCCTATTCCAACTGTGAGCTGTGGTGAGTGGCATTGAAGAGTGTAGATTCTGTTTCTTTGATGTTTAACCAAGGTGGAGGATGGGCAGGAAGGTCCATTGTCAAAGAGATTTCCTCAGAGTGTGTGAGGTCCCTCCCCCTCAGAGAATTCACGATTAAAGCAGTTGAACAGAAGAGGGATTCTCCCAGTTTTTTGGTGACCTGACTACACACATGTGCAAAAGTTTTTATTAAAGTCAAGATGCAAATGTATGGAAGAGTTAGCCACTTGAAGATCTGGATGTCCCGCTGGGGGGCATGTAAGCACTGGGCACAGCATGCTGATCTGAGCTACAGCCAGAAGGCCAGAGGGGCTGGACTGGGTGGGCAAGGGAGTGGGCGTGGATGTACTTAACAACGCACACAGGGACCAGTCCTGTGGGTTCTTGGGGTCCTATTAAGGACTTTGGACTTGTTTTGCTAATTGCACTGGGAAACATTTGAGTGCTTTAAGCAGAAGAGTGACTTGGTAAGATGTGTGTTTTATTAGTGATCGCTGTGGCCGCCAGGTGAGAATGGAATGTAAAGCAGTCGGAGGGAAGGGCAGAGACAAAAGGTGTGCCCACCGTGATCCTGGAGGTAGGACAGCAGACGGGCCCAGGGAGCCAGCAGGGGCTGTGGGGGACAGTCATCCCCACAGCTTTGGTCTATTTGTTTGTCTAAGGTCAGATATTTAGTATCTGCCTCTTGTTGTGTTATATGTTCAAATCAAAAAGTCTGTTATATTCATAGGCTACTTTTCTACAGGCGTGAGTTTTAATTTTCCTTACCGCTAAAGTTGACCTAATTCTTTAGAAGACTCCTGGGTGCTACAAATAACATCAGACACTATTGTCCTATTTAGTCATTCTCGGAAAGCATTGATTAATTACTGAGCAAGCGTGAGACCATGCCAAGAGTTGGCTTTGGAGCTATAATCTGGCAAATGACCACTCCTCTTTCTGCTGAGACCACTGCTCAAATCTCTAAGGGCCAAGAGGGTCCCTACAAAAGACGCTTCTAAGGATGGCCAAGCTCATGGCCAGGAACACCTCATGACACCATCCAAAAATGCCTGACTTTATCAAACATTGATTGGTCAAATTGACCCTCAGTGTTTTAACTTTTTAATAATTTTTGAGAGAGCTGCCTTTCTAGAATTCTTCATACTCAACTTCTTACTTTTTCTTCCAACTATCTTATTCAGTGCTATGAATATGTTTTTAATTCATTTCTGTGCAAAGTCGAGGCCAGCCCTACAATTAGGCTTTGCAGACAGAACTTTGGTCAGCGCACTCTGCCTCCACAGTTTCTCAGCCTGGTTCAAATCGGACAGCAGAGGTAACATGAGAATATTCGAAAGTTAGTTCTTTGATGATGCTTCTTTTCATAGACAAGCACATCAAACAAATTTACTTCAAACATGGGCAAGCTGTTACTTCCATTTTATTAGTGACAGTTTCTTTAGACAAAATAATGCTTCATTTCTGCCATGTCCTTGCTTCCCTCTCCTGGCAGATGGCTACACCACGGATGACATTGAATTTTACTGGCGCGGTGGTGATAAGGCTGTTACTGGAGTGGAGAGAATTGAGCTCCCACAGTTCTCCATCGTGGAGCATCGTCTGGTCTCCAGGAATGTTGTCTTTGCCACAGGTGAGTCCTGCATCCCCTCATACTCCCTGGAAAGATACTGGCTGCCTGGCCATGATGCTATCATTGTGAAATACCCTGCTGCTGATTCACAGTGCTGAGTCATCCAAAAAAGGACTATCATCAATATTTCATCATTTTCTCTACCCTTTTCTCTGTATCTAGAGGGGATGGATAAGCTTTGATGGGTAGGAAGGAGCACCTGACCAGGAGATGCTCTCTGTACTGGTTATTGAAAAGTTAAAAGACTGAGGGTGAATTTAACCAACCCTTGTTTGATAACATAAGCAGCTTTCATTCTGGGCAGACAAGAGGCCACTGATGGCCGTGGAGGCAGGAAGGAAGGAGAGGGAGGAAGACCTGAGGAGGCAAGTGCTGTGCTGTCAAAAGTAAGAGACCTTCTCCCCACTTCTGGGCTGGCAGTCAGCCCTGGTCCAGGAACCTGGACACCTGCAGTTAGTGATGCCTCTTCAGACATGGTCATCTGCTCCTAATATCATCTGGGAGGCTGCCCTGGCCTGGGTTTCATTGTCATCTTTGTTTCAACTCTCCAAAGACAGAGTGGTTATCTTCTACTCTCCTGTCTGTACTTGCTGAGGTTTTATTAAGTTCCAACCATGTCTCTCACAATGGGAAGTGCTTTCTCAGTGTTCTTACTGAATGCTGTGCTGTAGCTGAGAGAATAAACAGAAGCGCTCTGTAAAGTGTAGGGTATTCTAAAGACCACAAACTCTGGGTGGAGAATTCTCAAGAAAGCAGAGCTGGGATCTCCCATCTTGGCTTTCTCCTGACAATGTAGCTTAAACCACACCAAGTGGGTGGTGGTTAGCCCTGGTCCTGTGCCAGCATTCATGAAGCCTGCGGCCTGCACTCTCTGCCTGTGGCCTCTAGCTTGAATGCCTGTGACCCATGGCCACCTTGAATCCCTTCACCTGGCCACCTTCTACTCATTCTTCAGCTTAATCGAAATGCTCTTCCTCTGTGAAGATTTGGCCCCTGGTCTGCCCACACACTGCCTCCCCAGGCTGGCTTAGGTAACAGCTCTGCATTCCTTCAGTGCTGCACTGACCACCAGTGCCTGCGACTTCAAGGAGACCTCTCCCATAAGAGAGGCCTGTCCTGGGCACGGCTGACCCCACTCCCCGTCCCCTCCTCTTGGGTTGCCTGACATGCTGCGGACATGCAGCCAGTCCGCACTGGGCCAGTTTCTCTCCTCTCTACCTCAGCCTCAAGAACGAAGGGAAGAGAACAAAGTAGAGACAGAAGCCTGAATGTTTTAAGGTCCATCTTCATGGCGGTGCCACCTTCTCCTGTGTTGCAAGACGTCCTGCAAATGTGCTTGCAGTCTCTGTAGAGTACGCACGGAGGTGCTCACCTTGGGTGGGCGGTGAGGCCAAAAGGCACATGGGCTTATGATTAAGGAATAGTTTCCACAACCAAGAAAATTGCCCTGTGATGTGTTGCAGAAAATGATTTATTGCTTTTAAAACTGGATTTCAAACTGTTCCATGCTCCAAATGATGTGAGCAGAGGTCTGCTCAGAACGCAGGGATAGTCTTGTCTTGGTGTAGGAGTCCTGCCCATGCCTGCCTTTGTCTAGAAGATTGCAGATAGGGCTGTTAGGGCACTGCCAGGAGGCCCTTTTATTGCATTTTCATGCACCCTCCTTGAAAGCCTGATGAGGCGTCTGTGGAAGGTGTGGTGCTTCCATGGGAAACTGCAACCACATAGAATGGCCTTCCTGAATCCTCTTGCTCAAAGGCACTGGAGCCACTTTTTTCTAGGTGCAGTCTCTGTCTTTCTTTTAACTATGTGTATGGTAGAACATATCCTAAACACATCTGGAGAAGATACACAAGATCATGCCCTCAGAATACAGTGTTGAGTCCTCTTTTCTGTGCTCACCAAGTTTCTGCATTCGCAGGGTGTCACCAGGAGCTCCGTATCAGTCAGTTATAAACCTCCCATCCTTCAAAGACCCTGCGCTTTAAAATTATTCTAATTTGCTTACTTATGTAGAAAGGTCATAAGCCACATTGTTACAAAACTATTTCAAAATTAAATATTATACTAATTTATTTTCCTTTACACAAGTGTTCTGAATTAATGAGATTTCAATCAGTAAACTGGACTGAAGGATTCTGTAGCCTGAAAGAGAATTCTCAGAAAAGGGATTAGGAAAGACACAACACTCTGGAGGTTTCTGAAGATGCTCCTTCTCAGGGTCATGCAAGTGAAATTCTGTGGCTGGCCCACCTCTCCCTTGTCCTGCCTCTTTGAGGACCTTGTGAATGGCGTCTTGCTGTGGTTTCCCAAAGTGTAGAGTCCTAATCCATCTCCTGGGTAACATGAGGTTGCAGGCTGCAGGGCAGGGAATACATACAAAAGGAGTCATGAATATTCACTCAATGGCTGACATGAACTAGGCATGGGGCTGAACCCAGGGTCAGAGAGGGAACAGGGAGTGTCTGGTCCAGTGGGACTGCTCACAGCCTGCAAGCATTCAGCAGTGTGCCCCAGATGATATCAGGTAACCTCTTACCTAGTGGGGTGTTTAGCGGGAATTGAACCACAATAAGAGAGCTCGAGTTCAAGAAACAGTATGTACAAGGTTTAAAGACTCAGACCCTGGAGCCAGAACTGCCAGAGCTTAAGTCCAGACTCTGGAACCTCCTAGCAGGGTGACCCATAGTGATCTCTCTGAGAAAAAGAGGACATTGATAATATCTATTTGGTAGGATTGTAGAGGATTACATGAGTTAGTATAAATAAAGAGCCTAGAATAGGGTGAGCACTGATTAGCTTTCATTAATTAAATTGCGTGGGTCCAGGAATGAGGCATGTTTTGAGGAGTCCGAGAATAGACACTCCAGTGGCTGCCCAGAGCTTTAAATATTAGAAAATGCATGACATTATTCTCCTGGATTATTGAGCATGATGTAACTGACTCCTAATTGCTTGTCTGAGGGTTTCTTAAGAATAGGGCTTGTTTGGGGTTCATATTTGTATCCCTAATACATATCCCAGCATCTAGCCCACTCAATAGTTTGAAAACTGCATGGTTGTTGAATTACAAGAGGAAGTTTGACTGTCATTACTAAGTATGTATTCAACCCTAATCAAATGAATCGTTTCTGCAAAAGAGGTACTATATAAATTAATAACATTATATGTTCAAATATTTAATGTACTAAAATATGCTGTTTTAAAAAGAAAAATCCACATAAAACCTCTTTGTACCTGGGGAGAAAATTAAGTATGCCTTTGCCCAGAAGGAGGGAGCTTTGTTCCATGAGTGCATTTTAAAGAAATAACTGAGTTAGTTCACCTCAACAATAATTATTCCATTTCTGCTATGACTCAGCAAATAGTTTTTGGAAAAAATATTTCGATCCCCTTACAACTCAAAAGAAAATGAAGTAAAACTTTATTACTCACTGTGATTTCTAACCATAACAATGGAGTGCTACATTATAATTCATAGCACCTTGTGTTCGAGATTTTTCACTAATGTCCCTGGGAGACTGGTACTTGACAAACAAATTAGCCCAAGTTAAAGTATAGGAAAACTGATGTTCAAGAATGATAATGATTTGACCAGATTTACACAGTAAAGCTAGAAAGGACAGAAATTAATCCACAAGGTTCCTGATATATTTTTTGACAAAGATTTTAAAAACTAATATTTTTAAGCTTTATTTAAATGATTATTTTCCATACTTTTATATACTAATGTTATAAGGGTTGTTACACAGCGTGTAGCTGTTGGGATGACAAACAATGTCTACTGTGCCTGTCCACGGCATCTGTGTCATTCCTTCCCTTACTTCCCAGTATTAATGGGCTGTACATTCTTTTTTTTTAAATTTAATTAATTAATTAATTTATTTATTTTTGGTTGCGTTGAGTCTTTGTTGCTACACACAGGCTTTCTCTAGTTGCAGCCAGTGGGGGGCTACTTTTCATTGCAGTGCATGGGCTTCTCATTGCAGTGGCTTCTCTTGTTGCGGAGCACAGGCTCTAAGCACGCAGGCTCTAGAGCACAGGCTCAGTAGTTGTGGTGCATGGGCTTAGTTGCGCCACGGCATGTGGGATCTTCCTGGAGCAGGACTCAAACCCGTGTGCCCTGCATTGGCAGGTGGATTCTTAACCACTGTGCCACCAGGGAAGTCCCTATGGGCTGTACATTCTTGATGAGCAGTGCTTTTATGCGTTTCTAAAACGGATGTCGGGATTGGAGGCCTCCAAATTCTTAATCCAGGGACCTAGAATTGATTCATCCAATGTCCAGAAATCCTTAATGGCAAGAAATGTGCCTCTGCCTTCCAGTCCATCCTGCATTTTGCTGGCAAATTAGTAGCCATGCAACACTGTTTGCTTTTTTTATTGATGTATAGTTGATTTACTATGTTGTGTTAGTTTCTGGTGTACAGCAAAGTGATTCAGTTATATATTTATATTTTTTCATATTTTTTTCCATTATGGTTCATTACAGGATATTGAATATAGTTCCCTGTGCTATACAGTAGGACTGTATATAGTAGTGTGTATCTGTTAATCCCAGACTCCTAATTAGTCCCTCCCTTACCCCCTTTCCACTTTAGTAACCATAAGTGTGTTTTCTATGTCTGTAAGTCTATTTCTGTTTTGTAAATAAGTTCACTTGTATCATATTGTAGATACCACATGTAAGTGATATCATATGGTGTTTGCCTTTCTCTGTCTGACTTCATTTAGTATGATAATCTCTAGGTCCATCTATGTTGCTGAAAATGGCATTATTTCATTCTTCTTTATGGCTGAGTAATATTCCATTGTGTGTGTGTGTGTGTGTGTGTGTGTGTGTGTGTGTATAGATAGATATCTATAAATAGATATAGATAGATAGATAGATAGATTACCATGTCTTCTTGATCCATTCATCTGTGGACAGATGGACATTTAGGTTGCTTCCATGTCTTGACTATTGTAAATAGTGGTCATGCAACACTGTTTTCACGAAG